GGGAAAAACCCCCCTTTTTTTTTGGGCCAACCCTTCGGAATTTCCCCCCCCCAAACTCCTCGGGGTGAATACCCGGGGCCGGGGGGGGGGAAAAACCCCCTGGGTTCCCTTTCCCCGGAAAAAGGGGGGTTCCCAATTCCAGGGGGGGGGAGGCATTCCCACCAAAAATTTTTTAAGTTTTTGTGGGGGAAAAAACCCCCCCCCCCCCCCCCCCCCCCGCATGCTAGACCGCCGCTCTAGACCGCTGCTCGCCTCATCGACGGCCGGCGCACGTACTGCACGCTCTGCGACGTGACCCCTTCGGGCCTCGTACCGCCGCTCCCCCCGTCGGGCGAGGGCAGCTCTGCAGCCGGCAGGCAGGCGAACGCCGCCGGCAGCGGCAGCACCCACCGGCGCCGCTGCGCGACCTGCCTCATGTTGCCCGGCAGCTGCTGGCTCAGGCGGCCGCGCTCGAGCAGGCTCGGCGCGACGCAAGAGTACCTGCAGGAAGGTTCCAAGAAGGTTCCAAGAAGGTTCCTGTGCGTCCCTGGTGCGGAGCGGAAGCGGGTTGAGCACGGGGCGTGCAGAGAGAGGGTGTGATGAGGCGTGCAGAGAGAGGGTGGGCTCGCCGCCTCCCCCCCTCCCCCCCCCCCGCCCCCCCGGGGCAACGAGGGCTGCCGCGGAGCTCTGCTGCGCCCCGCTGCGCGCCGCCTCTCCGCCCCGGCGCTACCGCCGCCTCCCTCTCCCAAGGGGGCGGCGGGCGCGGCGAGCGAGCACGCGGCTAGAGACCTCTCCAGCGGGGCTTGGGGGGGGGCGCGCGCCACTCCGACCGCTTGACTTCGCCCGTGAAGGCAAACTCGGGCGGGAGCGGCGCCTGGCGGCCGCAGCAAAAGAGCGACTCACGATGACAAGGCGCCGGTGGTGGGAGTGAGATTGGCAAGCGGCGGGGAGGCGTGCGCCTGCTCGGCGAGAAGCAGCGTCTGCGTCTCCACCCACTCCGCCTGCACGGCGACCATCGGAGGGACGCGGAGCACGCGGTAGTCGTCCGTCGTCCGCTCCGTCCACATCGGCACCTGCGCGGCCACACAGCAGCAGCAGCAGGGAAGGGAGAGTCGCCCCTCTCGCGTCCGCAGGCCACGCCGCATCCCACCACTGCGGTGCGGTGGGCAACTGAGCTCGGCTAAACCTCGGCACTCGATCTCGGCTCGATCTCGGCTCGATCTCGGCGCACGTGCTCCGCGGTGGGCGAGTTCCACAGAGAGACGAGGTCGCGCAAGCGAGGCGTCACCTGCCGCCCGAACACGTCGAGCGGCGCCTCGTGCCATGTCTCCTTGATCGCCCGCACACGCGGGCCGCCGCCGCCGCCGCCGCCCGACTCGAGCAGCAGCTCCGACTCGGCGAGCAGGTTGACGCGCGAGCGCCAGGCGCTGGGCCACTCGACGCCGAGGGACCACTGCACCTTGGCCACGCCTGGCCGGACCACGCCTGTCGACAGGACCGCCAGCGCCGGCGGAGTCCTCCCCGCGTTTGTGAAGAAGCGGCACGCGCCGGCGAGATCGTCGAGATAGTCGCGGGCGCTAGCGCAGCTCCAGATCGGCGTCTCAACCCGCGTCTCGGGGAGCAGCATCCGCCCCAGGCCGGCGTCGTCACCCTTCCACGCCTCGACGAGCGCCATGGCGAACGCCTCGGCAACGCCTTGCTCCAGCCGCCCGCCGGCTCCTCCAACCGCAGTCGCGTCGACGAGGGCGCCTCGGACGGCCGCAGCGCGTCGCCCCGATCGGACCTGCCACACACCGGGCGAGAGGCCCGAGGGCGTCGAAGGCAGGTATGCCGCCGAGCCGAGCAAGCTGCAGAGGGCGATCATTTGCCCGACAAATAGGAGGAGGCTCAAGGCGCGAGAGCGAGCAAGCAAAAAGAAAAGAAAAACGTGGGTAAAAAAGAAGGAGGGAGCTAAAAGGAGCGAGCAAAAAAGGAGCGAGCAAAAATTACGTAAGAGCCACATACATTGAAAATCGGGGTCTCGCCTGTCGTCGGAGCTACTCGCTCTTTGAGCTCACAACATATGCGGCCCATCCCCGGCCCGGCGCTGCGCCTGCGCGGCGGCCTCGGGCCGACACAGCTCTCCCGGCCCGCAGTCCCTCCGGCGCCGGTGACGGAGGAGGTGCCGTGGCTTTCACTCGGCCTGAGTGGTGCCGCGCTGCTCGCGCTGCTCCCGCTCCTCCTCTCGATGCCGCGGCAGGCGGGTGTCACCGCGGGCGCGATTGCCGTTTCGCTGCTGCAGATGGCGGTGCTCGACGCTCCGCCGGAGCAGGCGCTGCTGGAGGGCGTGCTCGCGCTCGTCTGGTCCGGCGTCATCACGCTCAAGGAGGCGCTAGCTGGCTTCGCCTCCGAGGGCGTCGTCGCCGTCGGAGTCATGAGTGCGGTCGCTAAGGGCGTGCAGGCGGGCGGAAGTAGGGGCCTCCGCTCTCACGCCGGGGGTCACCCGGGGAGAGGCTGGCCAGGAGAGAGGCGGGCCACGGGGCGAGGCCCGGCCGGGGCGGCCCACCCGCACACTCGCACGGCCGCCTCGTTCCGCGCAGGCGACGGGCGGGCTGGCCTACATCTCGCGCTTCCTCCTCGGCCGGCCCTCGTCGCGCCTCGCCGCCGTGCTCCGCCTCGTGCGCCCTCCTCTCCGCTCCTCGCCGCTCCTCTCCCCTCCTCGCCGCTCCTCTCTCCGCTCCTGTCCGCACCTCTCCGCTCCTCGCCGCTCCTCGCCGCTCCTCCGCTCCTCGCTGGCGGTAGCAGTCGCGCAGAGGTGCGGCGCCTCCCGGTGTGTAGGTGCTCCCCACGATGCTGCTCTCGGCGGTGCTGAACAACACGCCCGTCTGCGCGATGCTCATGCCCGTCGCGCGCTCGTGGGCCGCCTCCCTCTCGCCCGCCGTCGCGCCCAAGCAGCTGATGATGCCCCTCTCCTTTGCGACTATGCTCGGAGGCACCATCACCCTCATCGGCTCGTCGACCAACCTCGTCGCCGCGGAGGAGCGAGATGAGCCGGGAGGAGCGGAGATGGAGCCGAGATGGGGCCGAGGAGCCGAGATGGGCCGTGGTGAGCCGAGATGGACCCATCCGCACCTGCCTCTCGCCTCGCCGGAGGGGCTTGAGTCTCGAGCGCGCCCTCGCCTCCGGCCCCTCGCCCCGAGGCAAAACACCGCGCCCGAGCCCCCACCGCATCCGCTCACGCGCCAGGCCGCACGCAAGCACGACCCGACCTCGCCGATGGGCATGCTCGGCATCACTCCGGTCGGACTCGTCAACGCCGCCGCCGGTGCAGCCCCGAGATGTAGCCGAGATGCAGCTGAGATGTAGCCGAGATGTAGCCGAGATGGAGCCGGTCGGACTCGTCAACGCCGCCGCCGCCGCCGCGCGCACAGCCGACGCACGCGACACGTCCATGACACGTCCGCGACGAGTCCGGCAGGCGCCGCGTACATGGTGGCAGCGGGCGGCTCGCTGCTGCCGGACGGAAAGAGCGCGCCCCTCGCGCCGCGCGCAGCGCCGTCCTCCGCTCCGTCTGCGGTGGCGGCGCCTCCTCGCGGCGTCGCCCGGCTGTGGCTCACTCTCGGCGAGCGGACTGGGACGACGTGCGCTTGCGGCCCGACAGGTCCGGTGACTGGTGAGTTGAGCTGCGTGGCTAGGCGTCCTGACTGGGACGATGTGCGTCGCGGCCGCCTCGCCGCCGCTCCTCGTCCCAACGGCCCTCTCCGCGCTGTGCGTGCTGATGCGGCTCGGCTGCATGGACCTCTCGGACGCGTGGGCGGCGGTCAACGGGCCGGTGCCCCTCTCTCGCCGCGCCCCTGCGGCCCTCCCCGCAGCCGCGTGCTTCAGTGAGCAGCCCCCACCCGCGGGGTTAGGTGCTCCTCTCGATCGCTCTTTCCTTCGCGCTCGGCAAGGCCATCGAGGTGTCGGGCCTCGCCGCCTCGGCCGCCTCCTCCCTCGTCGCGATCGTCGCGCCTTTCGGCGCGCTCGCTCCCCCCCTCCCTCTCCCCTCGCCGCCTCATCGCTCGGCCTCTGCCGCCAGGCCCCGCACGGTGGCCTCCGCAGGCTCGCTCGCCCTCCTCTTTGCAATCTACGCGGTCGCCATCGCCATCGGCGCCGTCATCTCCAACAACGCCGTCGTGGTGCTCATGTTCCCGATCGTCGTGCGCATGTCGGAGGCGTCGGGCGTGCCGTGGCGCGCCGCGCTCTATACGCTGACCATGGCCGCCTCCGCCTCGTTCTCCACGCCCGTCTCGTACCAGACCAACCTGATGGTGTCGCGCGACGCCGACTACGCCTTCGCCGACTTTGTGCGCTTCGGCTTGCCGCTGCAGCTCGTCTGTATGCTCGCCACCGTGCCCACCTGCTACCTGCTCTACAAGTAGCGATTTGCAGGCAGCTTCGGTCGGCGGAGCCGCCGTTACGCTGCGCGCGGTTTGGACGTTGACAGAGCCACTCCCCACACACGCGTACAATCTGCAGCACGGCGCACGCCCAACATACAGTGTTTGCATGAACAAAAAACAGTCCACCCTAAAGGGGAAGGACCCTTGAGGGAGTCGCGGAGGAGGAGGGATGACGCAGCTCGCAGGCAACGCGCAATCCGCAAAGGACGGGCCAACAGCCAGTGGGACGAACGAGGGCCGCGACGGCGGCTCAAGCGGGAGGGAGCGGAGACGGTGGGCAGCGAGCGAAGTGGGTGAGACTGATGATGCTCCTTCGACTTAGGGAGCGGTTCAGCTGCTGGGCGGGCTTCAGGTTGGTGCTCACGCGAAAAGGAATCGACGCGATATGTGCAAAGCATACAAGAAGGGGAGAAGGAAGAGGAGAGACGCCGGTGATGACGAAGCAGAAACTAGCGCAGACGAGAGCAGGGCAGACCCGGGGACTGGGGAATAACTAGTGCCGGAGCGGACGGCATCGGCCGCCGAGGGAACGTTGGGAAGAGGCACGAGGAGGGCGGCGACCTCGACCGACTATGGAGGACCCGTCACCAGACGACGCAGGGCAGAAGACGGTGAGGCGGAGCAGACGTGCAGGGCGAGACGAGGGAGGGAGCAGGACTTTGCGGAGATCAGCAGGAGGATGTACGAAGAGATTAGGAGCAGCAGGGACCCGAGGGACCATGTGGAAGACGGCTAGTGCTAGTCCCCCATCGGGAGGACGACCCCGGCTAGTCGCCGACCACACCCACAAAGAACCCTGCACAAAGATCGCAAGGGCGGGGACCTGTTCCTTTTTACCCACCTCACAGTAGAGAGGTGTCCGTTTTTATTTATTTATTTAAGGACCCTGAGTTCGTCGGGGGGGTGTTGCCGGCGCTGGTAGATGATCTCTCGGAGAAGAGCCGGAGGGACCTTGGCGCCGGGGTCACGAGGAACTTGCAAGTCGTGGCCGAGGCGGCGACGGGAGCGGTGCAGAGGTGGATCCAGCTCAATGATGAGGCTACGGCGCGCATAATGAAGAGAGAGGAACACATCGAGTGGCTGAGGAAGCTCTTCACTGGGTGGAAAGAGGCTCGGCCGGCCTTGAGGGAGTCGCGGAGGAGGAGGGATAACGCAGGCAACGCAGGGACGGGCCAACAGCCAGTGGGACGAACGAGGGCCGCGACGGGCGGCTCAAGTGGGAGGGAACGGAGACGGTGGGCAGCGAGCGAAGTGGGTGAGACTGATGATGCTCCTTCGACTTAGGGAGCGGTTCAGCAGCTGGGCGGGCTTCAGGCTGGTGCTCACGCGAAAAGGAATCGACGCGATATGTGCAAAGCATACAAGAAGGGGAGAAGGAAGAGGAGAGACCCGGTGATGACGAAGCAGAAACTAGCGCAGACGAGAGCAGGGCAGACCCGGGGACTGGGGAGCCGGAGCAGACGGCATCAGCCGCCGAGGGAACGTTGGGAAGAGGCACGAGGAGGGCGTGTGTGTGTGTGTGTGTGTGAGTATTCTTGATACGAAACCACGACGACACACACCAGTCGACTCGCATCGGTTGCCTCCATGAACGGCGGAGCTATTCTCGCGCCCACACCACACCTGGCTCCAACGTGGACACGCCCATAGCTGGGGACACTACTAGGTCACGCATGGCATCACAGAAGTTTTATCTCTGGGCCCCGAAAGGCATCTCTAGCAGTGTCGTTACACATGCCCCCTCCGAGGGAGGGCGGCGACCTCGACCGACTATGGAGGACCCGTCGCCAGACGACGCAGGGCAGAAGACGGTGAGGCGGAGCAGACGTGCAGGGCGAGACGAGGGAGGGAGCAGGACTTTGCGGAGATCAGCAGGAGGATGTACGAAGAGATTAGGAGCAGCAGGGACCCGAGGGACCATGTGGAAGACGGCTAGTGCTAGTCCCCCATCGGGAGGACGACCCCGGCTAGTCGCCGACCACACCCACAAAGAACCCTGCACAAAGATCGCAAGGGCGGGGACCTGTTCCTTTTTACCCATCTCACAATAGAGAGGTGTCCGTTTTATTTATTTATTTAGGACCCTGAGTCGACCCCTCTCCCGCCGCCGGCCATATAGACATACCGAGGAGTGTTGATCAGAGGGTCGCTCTGCCGGCTCCATCTGTTGTGCGTTGTTTTATTGTCCGAAACGAAGCGTTTCAGCCATATAATGCAGCCCATCGTCTTGCGGCTAGAGACGCAAGGCGGCGCCGTCGAGCTCGAGCTCCACATCAAGGGGCTCCTGGAAGAGACCCTGTCGCCTCGCTGCCCTGGCGACGACTCGTGGGAGCAGCAGCTGCAGGACCAGGGCAAGAGGAGGGCGACGCTCACCACGATATTGAGAGGTGTGGGACGTCCCCGCCCATGAAGGCAACTCCGTCTACTCACCACACGCTGCCGCGACAGATTTGATGCAAGCGGTCGCGCAGGACAAGCCAGACAAGCTCGAGCCTTTTGCCGTCGAGTGGCTGGAGCGGCGGTTTGGCAAGTCGGCCGAGCGCAGGTCAGATTTGCAATAGGGTGGTGGGTTCGTAGCGGCGCCACACCTCAAATTGGGCGTTCAGAGCTGCTCACCCCGTCACAAATCGCCGCAGCTTGAGCCCCTGGACCTCGCGCACGGACCTCTATCCTTCCGAGGCGGCCTTTGCAACTTACTTTCTCGAGATTCGGCTGCCGACGCTCCTCGAGAAGGCTATCGAGCTGGTGGCTTTCGAGCAGACGGCACCAGCCATTGCAGCTCACTGCCGGGTGGCGTCCGTCAGCTGATAGCCTCATGCTTTCCCGCCCCATAGGCTCCAGAGACGCTAGGCGAGTCTCTCTTGGAATTCTTCCTCTCAGAGGGGCGCGACGCGGACGCGCGGCGCGAGAGGCTGTGGCCGTCGAAAGCGCACCCCCAGGTTGAGAGCGCGGGTGCGCCGCCGCTGGTCGCGGCCGAGTGCGTGGTGACGATCGAGCAGCCGACCGAGGGCGAGGACGCATCAGGCGGCATCAAAGTGAGCATTGTGACGCCTGGCCAGCAGTAATCTTTGAATGAAATAAAAGCACCGAAAGACCAAAGGAACGGCACAGTCAGAGCCGATCGCCACCACGGCAAGCCATCCTCCAGCGCCACATCCCACATCCGGACCGCTCTCGGGGCTCCTCCCGGATGCGGATCGCTCCTACCACAGCAGGTTTCCGCGCCTGCCCGGTGCTCTGCGCTGCACCCTCTTAGGCCTTAGAGCCTAGACCCTTGGCTGACTTCTTGGCTGCACCGCCCCCGGGGGGGCCGCCTGCAAGCTGCACGTGCAGGGCGAGCAGGCCCAGCCCCTCGGGCAGTCCTCTCGCATGCCAGCTCTAAAGAAAGAAAGTAGACGGTCCTCCCATCGATGCAGCATGCTGGGACACCAAGAATCCCCAAGATCGTGTGCAGGGCGGGGACACATGTCCCTAAATCCCATCTCGTCTCAGAGTTTGACCGTTTTATTTATTTACTTAGCATGCTGGGCGCTGGGGGTGAGGACAGACACAGAAAAATGCAGCTTAGGAAACTCGTTTACCAGAGGCTAGACCTAAGTGCTAAGAGGGTTGGGGCGAGGGGGGCGCATCATGGTACATGGAGCGGAGTCCGGAGAGGCGGACGAGGGCTGCTGCCAGAGATGTGGTGTGCTGCCAGGGGCGCAGCCGGCGTTCTCTCTCGCATATAAGGACGAACCTATATCGCACCTGTGGGCGCCACCGCCCCTCGGTGTCCTCCGTCCCGTCCAGTCGACCACCTGACTGAGTGAGTAGAATTGTGAGAGAGAGAGAGAGAGAATTGTTGTCCTGAGGAAGTAAGGAAAAAGAATTTAAACAAAACAAGTCTCTCTCACAGCAGACAAGAAGCTGTGAACAACAGTTCCTTCAGCACCCCGAAAATGATCGCCCTTCGGGCACCTTCCCATGCGCCTACGGGCACCCCAACACTCCCACACGCCGAGCCACGCGCTGCCGGCGCCCTGCATGACCCTCTCCACGCACACCGCGTGAAAACTGCACGTACGTCCCCGCGCGCACGCAAACACGCGCAGCGCCATTTCAGAGCTGTGCCACTGTGCGTCTGCTCTGTGCTGGCGCCCCATGGCCGTCCCGCGCCGCCCGCACCAGCCACGCGCCCCTCGCACCACCAGAGGCAGCCGCATATCCACTCACGCCGCGACGCGCGCGCCGCAGCACACCTCACCAGCACGCCTTTTTGCGCCCTGTGCAGGCTCTGCACACTGCTCCTGGCATCTCACAAGCGGCTGTACCAGGACGCGCCGCGAGTACGACGCAGATTCCGCACCACGCAAGGCACGCACGCACGCACGCACCCGCACGCGCGCGCCACGCGCTCATCCGCTCAGTCTGCTCCACAGCCTGTCAGCCTGCCTGCACACACAGCATACAGCACCATGTGCACGCACTGCGCTCAACGATGCAGCCCGCACCCCGCAACAACAGCCTGCCCCTCGCCTCATCACGACGTCTCGCGCACACTCCGCCAGCAGCCCAACCAGAGACACTGCAGCGCGCGCCTCTGCACGCCTGCAGTCTCTCTGACCTTCCCAATCCTCCCCGCCGCCGCGCCTCCCCGGGCACACACCGCAGCAGTGAACATGTGAGAACGACCGAGCCCGCGCCTGCCGCACACAGCCCCGTATTCGACTGTTGGTAAGTGCACGCTGTTACGCCTCTGTGTGTGTGTGCTCGCTTACTGCCAAAAAAGAAAAACATGATGCGGAGACAAACATTCCTGCTGAGTGCTGTCCAGATACAAAATATATACACCGGAAAGGCCCGACGCCCCCCCCGGGCACAAACCCCACACCGAAACCCCTGCCGCACTTTTTACTTTTGTTTGTCATCTGCCAGAAAAGATACACGATACAGGAAACAAAAAACACCGCGGGGATTCAGAAAATAAAAGAAAAACAGCCTCACCCCAGTAGGGATAACGCCGAGTGCCAGACCACCAGGGGGCAAGTGTGTGTAGCACCTTCGACCCCGAAATGAAGGTCGCCACGCAAAACCGGGCGCTAGGAGAGGTGAACTGAAGGCTGAGCAGTGTTCAAACTTTACCGGTATGAGACCGGTATTTGGTGATATTTTGATTAGTTTTGGAGTGGTATGGTATAGTGGTATGCAAAAGTGGTATGCGGGGTTTTCATTAGTTGTAGCGGCTGTCGGTGTGGTCCCGGGGGCGAAACCATGCAAAAGTGCGGGTATTACCCGGGTATACCCGGGTTTTTCCAGGTATACCCGCAAAATACCGGGTATTTTGCCGATTTTGCCGATTTTGCCACCAAGAAGGCACTCCGACTCGCTTTGATTTCCGTGAGGCAAGTAGTATCCCGTACCACTTTTTGATTAGTGCAGGCCTTGGGTTTGATTAGCCAAAAACTCCCATACCGGTAAAGTTTGAACACTGAGGCTGAGACAACGGAGGCCGAGCCTGAGTGGGCGCCCGCGCGCCCCCACACAGGCAAGCCTCTGTCCTTCGGCCCACTCCGGCGATCGTCCGTGGGCGGCCGCGGACAACATGGGGCCTAATCAATTCCCTCAACACCCGACCCCACTCTAGGGACAGCAGCGCGCTTCTCATCCCGGAGAGGGAAGGAGGGGGGGGGGGGGGGGGGGGAGATCAGAGAGCCAAAGCAGGGAGTACCCCCGACGGACGCGAGTCGGGGGGAAAGCGAGACGAGAGATTCAAGGCGAACTTCATCACCCGTCCAGGAGCCCCGCATTAGGTAGCGACCCCAGGTTCAGAGCTAGGCTTCCCGACAGGGCAGGGAACCCCCAGCGCGCAGGCGGGGCCCACGGTAGCCTCGTGCAGTACGCGATACCGAGAGCTGGGGGAGAGGCGCGCCACGCCAAGGGGGACGAGTGACGGGGGGGGGAGAGTAGTGTCTTTCGCAGGGTAAAAAGCAATTTTTTTTTCTCTCACAGCAGACAAGGAAAAAGAAAGAGAGAAAGAAAATAGACACCCCAAACGAGGGATGGGGGAGGAGACAGGGTCCCCACCTGCACGAGCAGGATTTCAATGTATGTGGCTCTTGTACGTACATTCCCGGAGGAGGACTGCTGACAGGGTTTGCGATGAGGAGTGACCCGAAGGATTTTGGAAGGACGATCAGGAAGGGCAGTGGCGCCTTCTTCTTTCTTTGTGCCAGTCCGCGCCAGTCCGCGCTTGTCGTGCCAGTGAGTGGCAAAAAGAAAGAAAGAAAACAGACAACCCAAGGGAGGGATGGGAGAACGGTGAGTGGCATCCACGTGTCAGAAAGAAGAATTCTTTTCACGCGGTTTCGGGGAAAGCTCGTTTTGGCTCTGGTGTTGTAAACACATATGCGCTGGCTCGTCATCATCTCTGCTGTCAGCCTCGCTGCTGCGTTGCATTCGGTCCCTCCGCCCTCGGTCGCGCGGCCGTTCCGCTCTCGAGCGCCGCGCGCAGCCCTTTCAGACGACGAGCCAAAGAAGACTGGCGAAGACGGGGATGCGCTCGCGGCAGAGTTTGCGCGTCGGCTGGAGGCGGAGGGCGGTGCGACAAAGTTCAAGCTGAAGACAGACATCTCGCGCGCGGTAGAGCCTCTCAAGGACGGCCTCACCGACGTCGCGAGAGAGGCGAAGAACGTGCAGCTTCCCGACTTGACCGACGCGTCACCGCAAACGCTGCTCGGAGGCCTCTTTGGTGTCGTCTTTCTCTGCACGCTCCTCAGCGCGGCGAGTGGCCCGAGCGTAGACACACGCACCTCGGACGGCACTACCCTCGAGTTCGGGCAGCGTTCAGAGCTGCGGCAACCCGATTTCGGCACCTCAAACCGCGGCTACCGCCCCGAGTTTGGCAACCAATGAGCAGCGACATATCCCGTGTGGACCGCTACCCGTCGGCGATCAACGGGCGATCTCGCGAGGGCCGTGGCGGTCTGCTGCGGCACATACGTGTGTGGTGGCGTGTTTTAGGCGTTCTTTTGTTATGTCCATTTTTTGCGCATTCCTGTCCTCCTAATACAGATGAGGGACACATTAGGAGAAGGATAAAAGATGTGGTCCTCCCTCAAGTCAAGAAAGAAAATAAGCTGCCGCATGAAAACGGAAGTCGCAACACGCAAGTCCGGGTCGGTCCGCTCGCGTCCGTCGCTCCGCGCGGGAGCGAGCCGGACAACTCTCAACTGCGGGCGCAATGGACGAAGAGTTCAACCCCACGAGCCACACCAATTACTGCCAGAAGCTGCTTCACTCCTTCTGCGGCGTCCTTATCGGCGCACTCTCCACACCTTGCTGAGCTGTCATAGCGCATGCTACGTCCAACACGTGTCCGCCACACAGCCTCTCTCTGCGACAAGTGACATGTTGTGCATGACGTGTACACAGGTTTTCTCCTGCTGCCAGTTGGCTGCTGGCTTGTGGTCTGGAACGAGGGCAGCGCAACCTTAATGGGAGGGGCAGCACACCACATCTCTCCCACACGCGACCCCACTTGCTCCTCAGGCAACTCGGTGTGCACCTCCGCCGCTTTTGACGCGGGTAAGGCCATCATCGTTGACACGGCGTGCGAGAACAATGCGGCCAACATGGGCGATCTCGTCCACTACACCTGTCCCGTCCAGCTGGACACGGCGGAGGTCACTGAGAGCGTCACGGGCGCGACCATCCCCGGTGCACTGAAGGTTGCGGCGCGCTTACGGTGCCCCAGCACCCCGCGTGGCAGCCTTTGCTCAGGAGCAACCGCGTGCTCAGGTGACCTCGACAGTCCAGATGTATCTATGGACCGAACAAACCTACAGCCAGGAGGAGAAGGACAACCTTGGCGGGACGACAACGTACACGTGCTTTTGCTATACCAAGACTTGGACGAGCATGGCGGGCCTGCGCCTTACTTTGGGAGGCACTCTGACGCACACCCAATATCACGCGAGACAACCGACATGTAGGCGCCGCGTATCGATCAACATAATATCCGCTACACTTGCGGCAGAAACGCGAAGGACCCCGGCCCCAATTGCCTGAACTCGCAACCGTCGGCGTCGGATCTGTCGCTCGACACCTCTGGGCTGGGCTTCTCGCAGAGCTACGCGCCGAGTGTTGACCTCGGTGCGGGCGCCCGTCTTGAAGCTCATCCACGCGACCCAACTCAGCGGATGGTATGTTTCCTATGGCAGGCGAACCAGTCGCCCAGTTTGCGCTCACCCAGGAGAAGTTGCAACAGACGATGGACATGGGCCCCGCGCCGATCGATATCCCGGCGCCTGCAGGCTGGGCGCAGACGCAGGAGGGTGTTCAGAGCAACGACCCGATGGCAGGGCTGATGAGCCAGACGGGGCCAACGGAGGGTGCGGTCTACTACTATAAGACTGGGGACGGCCGCATCTACACCCCAAACTCGGCGCAGCTGGGAGACCGCCAGCTGACAATGCAGGCGTACACTGCGGAGAGCGTCTCGGGGATTGGTAAGCAGCTCGCGGGCTCGCCAGGCGCCCTCGAGCCGTACGAGGCGGGCGGTGGGTGGTTCCCTCCGTGCAAGCCGCGCGAGCTGGAGTACTATATGGGGAAGGCGCTCTCGCCAGCAGAGATGTTTGGCGTGCTCAAGGCGAACCTCGACTCGATGACGATGCTGGTCCGGCTCCTATGCTACGGCATCTTCTTTGCGGGCTTCATGATGATCGGAGGCCCTCTTGCCGTTGCGCCCCAGATCGTCCCGTGCGTCGGCGAGTACATCGCCGGTGTCGCGCAGTGCATGGTCGCCTGTGTGGCCGCAGTCTTTGCGCTCGGGCTCTGGGCGTTCTCCACCGCCATCGCCTGGCTCTTTTACAACCCCGTGTACGGCATCGCCCTGCTGGTCGTCGCAGGTGCGGCGAGCTACATCGGCAACAACATGGTCCAAAAGGCCAAGCACGAAGGCGGCGGCGGCGGCGGCGGCGCTCCCAACCTCGGTTTTAGCAAGCCGCAAGACGAGGTACCGCTCGTGTGAGCGGTCCATAGCTGAGGACTCCTGCTGGAGCTCTCTGAGCCCGCTCTCGCTCCAGGAGAGGGGAGTATCGCTCTTGCCTGTCACCTGTGGGCGCGGCGCAGCTCCCCCGGGGGCAGCGGCAGGGCCAGGCGCACTCCCGTTGCAGTGCATGTAATACTGTAAGGTGAGACGACAGACACAGGTACACCTCCCAAAAGGTGAGCTGAGGACTTGGCTCTTGGGGGGGGGGGTTTGTAAATAAATAAATAAAACGGACACCTCTACTAGGAGATGGGTAAAAAGGAACAGGTCCCCGCCCTGATGGGCCCTGCGGTCTTTGCGTGCAGGGTTCTTTGTGGGTGTGGTCGGCGACTAGGGGGGGGTTGTGGGCTACATGCGGCTCTCTTTTTTATGAATGATTTAGATTGTGCTTTGTGGGTCGGCGAACTGGAACACGCCCTCACATGGGGGCTCACGCGCGTAAAAAACAGCTAGCCGTAACAGGGTGCCGCGCTGCCGGGCTCTCACTCTCACGTCTCAGCCTCAGGGGGTTTGTGTGGAAGACACTCGACTACACATGTGCATGCACATGTACATGTGCACACATGCGATCAATTATCAATGTACTAATCACGCTGTGGAATAAAGCGTAACACGACGGTGTTGTGCTCTACGTGTGTCTCTCTGTCCACTCGAGACTCTCCGTTCGTGGCCGTTCCGCACTCAGGTCAACTTTCGAGACGGCACACGCCAACCTCCTCAACCCACACCCCAGAAGCGACGCGGCGCCTGCACCGTCACCTCGGTGCCGGTCGTCGGCTGCGCCACCGCCGCCTCGTGGAAGCCCCGCGCCCCCGCGAGCGCCAGCCGCAGCTTGGCCCGCAGGTGCGCCTCGCAGCAGTACTCGGGCAAATAGAGACGGTTGAAGCAAGCCGACGCCGTGGGGAGTCGGCCGGTGGCGCCGCCGCCAATGCACGCCACCGTAAAGCGCTGCTCGGCGCCACGGTAGCCCATCAGCGAGGCGAAGCCGGTAGCAGGGGGCCGCGTTGCGCCGGTGGCGAAGAAGAGGAGCTGCGCGCGCTCCGCCTCCGTCAGGTGGTCGCGCACCGCGCGCCTGCGATGTCGAGATCGCCGAGGTTACCCGAGATGGCCCGAGCTCAACGTCGGAACGGGCACCGCGCGCCAGAACCACGCGACGCCCCTAGAGTGTGCGTACTCGGGCGGGTCGTAGCGCGTGTGTCGCTCCCAGTCGTCGACGTCGATGGCCGCCTCCCCGCACAGTAGCAGCTGGACCTGGTCTCGGGCGAAGCTCGGGTGAACTCGGACGAACACCCGACCGCCGCCTCGCCGCCTCGCAGCGACTGCGCCTCGGCGACCGTGCAGCAGGTGCGGAGGGAGGCGAAAGGGCGCCCGTCGAGGAAGACGGCGAGGCCGGCGCGGAAGGCGGCGACCTGCGGCTCGACGGCGCCGAGGAGCTTGTGCTGCGCGTACAGCCGCAGGTACTCCTCGACGTTTGCTGCGGTGACCGGCTCGTCGGCCCCTCCCGGCTTGAGCTCAGTGGCGCGCCGCCGCTTGGACGACTCCTCGTAGATGACCGCCTCGTCGCCGTCCACCTGCGACGGTAGGGGAGGCTCGCCTCCGCCAGCCTCGGGCAGGAGGCCCTCCGGGCCTCGCACCTCGAAGCAGAGGCACATGGCGCCGAGATCCTCGGCCGGCATGGCGAGCAGCGTCCTCTGCGACTGGTGCAGCGCGGGGTCGACCGACGCGAGGTCGTCAAAGCTGAGCGGGTAGCCGAAAACGGCCTTGAGGAAGGCGTGCGACCACGCCACGCCGACCGTCTCCCGGTGGTACAGTGCGAGGCCGCAGATGCGGCCGAGCAGCGCGAAGTACGAGAGGTGGTCCTCGCCCGCCGAGGAGGCCGAGTGCGGGTTGGGCCGCAGCCCGTCCTGGCTCGCCAAGAAGAGGCCGCGGCGCGGGTCCACCATCTCCGCCGTCGCCTGCTCGAACCACTCGCGTCGCAGCGCGTCGCCCGCCGCCGCCTCGCCCTGGTAGCGCACGTCCAGCGCGGTCGCCGCCGTGCCGGAGAAGGGCCGGCCCGTCGCCTCGTCGACGCTCAGGGCGGCGCACGCCCCGACGTCCCCGTGACGGCCCCACTCCCCCTTTCTGTCGCCCGGGCGCCACTCCGACACGTCGAGCGGGCTGCTGCGGCGGGCGAC